AGAGATCCACAACCTGGTCATGAGGCCATGTCTGCTGTACGGTACAGTATATTGCCATGAGAAATGGTTCAAGTAATACGTGGCTGTTATGAGAGCCCTCGGGTCACATTGGTTGTATTTCATGGTTCAAACGGGTATAAACCTTCCGTACCACTCATGAGGCTAAGTTATGGGCCTATTAGATGCTCATAAGGTAAAATTATTAGACCAAATCATGGGCGGACTTATTTTTGTACTCAATGGGGTTTAGTTCAAGTCTCATGCCTATTGTACTGCTAAATGCATCGATTTATTATTAGCCTCTCATAATACACGTAAACCATTCGTCCTAACAGCCTGGTGGAGTTATAATCGCCTTACTATGTCCAAGAGGCTGTGCAGGGTCACCAGGGCACCATGTCACGGTCATCAGGGCACCAGGTCAGGCCTTACCATAACCAGCCTCCTTCATGATCAGTCCCCACCACCACTAACCAGCCCCTCCCCCTTCACACACCCTAATGATGCAAGGAGACGGGCATCTCTGTGACCCGTAACCTATGCCTTACAATACGTGACCTGGAGATGAGTGTGACCATGAAACAAACGTGTACTTGGTGTATCGCTCACAGTCTCAGTTGGTCTTCACACCAACACACTCATGGAAACAGTGCTGAGTGAGTACACACACACACACACACACACGCACACACACACACACGCACACACACACACACACGCACACACACACACACACACACACACACACACGCACACACACGCACGCACGCACACACACACACACTTGATGGAGGTGGTATTAATGGTCCACCTGAATATTAGCCCCAGTTTCTTGATGATCAAACACCCTAACGCCACCCAGGAGTAAGGTTAGGTTAACATTAAGGCGAAATAAGGTGGGGCTTTAATCTTTAAGTGATCCCCGTTAACTAACTGTTAGTTGACCTGCCGTGAAATGATCAAGCATTATCCCAGTATGACACTTAACGAGGATTACAATCTCTTGACAACTGTAATTTAGGGGAAAATTGAGGTATTCGCTTGGCTGAGTTGTAGTGTAATTTATGTAATTCACAACTGTTATATACACCGTTACATTGGTTGGGTGTGCACGGGTACACACATGGTAGATGCAGTTGTGTTAGCAGTACACGTGTGGCAACAGGTGAGATAAAACCCCACCTCACACCTCCTCCCTCTCACACCTCCTCCCCTCTCCCCTCACCTCACACCTCCTCCCTCCCCACCTCACACCTCCTCCCCTCCCCCTCACCTCACACCTCCCTCACACCTCCTCCCTCCCCCCCTCACCCTCCCTCCCTTCCCTCCTCCTCCTCTCCTCCTCCCTCACTCTCACCTCTCCTCACTCTGTGTGTGTAGGATAGGTTTACTTAAACTCGCAACGTTTGTCAGAGATAATCGTTTGTTTACGCTCTGCCACGGAGACCAACGGTGGCGCCCGCTTCCTTGGGATGATATCGACGGGTTAACAGTCTCCCTCGCCCTCTCCCACCACCCATCCACCCTTCCTCGCCCCTCTCCACCCTTCCTCGCCCCTCTTCACCCTCCCTGCCCTCTCCCCCCACCCATCCACCCTCCCTCGCCCCTCTCCACCCACCCATCCACCTCCCTGCCCCTCCCCTGCCCCCACCCACCCACCCTCTCTCCTTCTCCACCCACCTCATCCACCCCATCCACCCTCGCTCCCTCTCCCCCCCACCCACCCACCTTTCCTTTCCTTCTCCACCTACACCTCCCTCGCCACTCTCCACACCCCCTCCCTCGCCACTCGCCACACCCCCACCCTCGCCACTGAAGGAGACAACAATCAATATCTTTTCACACCGTTATTTTTCGTCTATCTCTTGGTCTACTTCCCTTAAATTTCGACATTTATTCCCACTGGACGTTACTTTATCAGCTACGACTGACTATTTTCTTCGAGGGCCTGTGAGAGCCATCACCCATGAGTCCAGTATTAAGTGCATATTTCGCACGTAGATTGAACAGTCTAACGCTACCTGGGGGTTGGGTTGGGTTAGGTCATGGTGAAAATAACCGGGGTGCTTAATCTTCCAGTGATCCCAAAAGACTGCCTGAAGAAAATCTGAAATGTTAATAACACACTGGACAACATCTTTCTCAAATCCAACTCAAGTAGGTATCGAGCCTGGCTAACAGCAATGACTGGCAGGCAAGAGCGATACCACTATACTACCGACATCCTTCATCTCACGTTCATGTGTATAAATTCTTAGGGTTTCTCCCCGAGGTCCAGCCACCCAACTCTTCTTACCTATTCAATATTTAACTTCACTTTATCCCTGAACTTTATCTTAATCAATATACCTCCACAACCTGCCAATCTCTTCGTGGACAATCTATTTCCAGGAGCCACAACCAGCCGGCTAGTTCTCCACTTCCATAAATAAGAAAGAGGTTAGTTTCTCCTCCAAACTGCCCTCACAGTACACGCCGACTGTCTCCAACACACCGCATCCGGAACACAATTAGCCACATTGATTAGTTGTTTTAAGTCACTGTAAAATAGAGTATCTGAAATATGGTAATGTACATCAGCACTTATTACAGTACGTATAAAACCTGATGAAAATATATTATGTCATTGATCGTCACAACGATGTTGTTCACTCCTGCTGTTGTAGTGCTGAAGTGATATACGTGTAGCCTGTTGTTCCATTAACATTTCAACATGGTCTCCTACTGTAGCAGCCAGCGGTGGCCAACAGCGTCATGGAATCGATACTGTAGTTCTCACCATAAATTTAACAGAAACCGCCACCCACCACTCACTCATCATTTTCTTTCAGTGGATCAAAGATCTATAGTTAGTTGTGCTTCACACGGCACTACATTTATTATCTCAAGAGAGTAAATGACACTATTTTCAACACTGTACTGCCTGAGTTGAGGTGCGTCTCCTGTCCTAAGGGTCACTGGTATGCACCAAGAGCACCTTCAGTCCACCAACCTATAAATGTATATCTAACTTTACAGTTGGGGAAGTGAAGGCGGTCAAATATAGTGCTGACCACAATGCCCCTTTGCGTACCGAGGGCTTAGTATTGTGTTATATCCACACTACCTATAAAGAACCGTTAAGCCCATGGAATCTACTTTTACTATCTACAGTAAGCCTCACTCGCTCTCTGGCACGTTCTAGCATCCTATCCTGTACATGTAGAGTCAGAATGGGTAAAGGGTCACTGAGTAGCGCCAGTGAGGGACTGAGCTACGAGGGCTGTGACCCTCTCAACCTGTGCTCGAATTTGAAACATCCCTGACTCATAGGAAGACTCCAGCACGCCTAAAGGCAACCTTTTGCTGCCATAGGTGTACACTAATTTCGGAAGGATATAGTAACCTGGAAGTTTTGTCACCCATTACTGGCATCACAGATGCCACCCAAAATGGGAAGCTCGAGCAAGACTTGCTCAAATATCACAAAGAATATCTGGGACTTGGTGGCCGCAGGCTCCATCAGCGACATGTGTACGCGGTCATCATCTCCATACTGTGTGCGAGGCCGTGAGGACTCGTTGAAGATAGGCGAAGGAGGAAACTGGTGTTTAATCTAATCTATCATTTCACCACTTATCAGCTTACTAGCCATTCGGGCAGTTGATCTGTTGTTTGTTATTTTGTTATAAACTTAACTGTACAGTAGGAAGCCGGAGTACCCGGAGAAAACCTGTCATGTCTGGAAGGGTCACAAAGGATAACACCATCCTCACGTGTGTTCCGGGACATAATAGTGAGAGATACACTCGTTACAGCTATACAACCAACACTTAGCCAAAACAGAAGCAGACCTTCGGGTGCTGAGCCAAAGTGATGTCAGGGAGCTACATGTCCTCTTTCCACGGAGGACTAATGACTTCATTTAAGGTAAAAGAAGGAAGCCGGAGAGAAAAGGTACAGTGTGTGAGCCAGAGCCAGAGGGTCGCGCCAGCACCTACCACAGTCTTACCGGAGATCATCCTACACCTTGGGGAGCTCGAACAGGCCGAAGGTAATTCCTGTGGCAGCCCGTCGCTACTGAGGCGTGGACGAGTAGAAGTACGAAGACTTATATAAGACTGTCATGGTGAGGCTGAAGAACGAGTGGAGTAAGTATATTGAGGTCAGGGGAGTCTACAGTACTGTATATTAATAGATAAATATGAGCTGTGGTTTTGTCTTTATATTATATGAGTTTACACAACTTTCTGACAGCCCCTCGTGATATATTAACTGCCTCAGAGTTAGTCCAACTTGCTCCCATTGCCTCTGTAAACTATGAGAACTGTTAATGAGATTTATGCGAGAGAGAGAGAGAGAGACTGGTTCTACTAGTTAGGCTATAAGAGTTTAGACCAATATTGCACTTTTGTTAACGATATATTGAAACAATCTTAACGAAAAGTCAGTTAGAACTTTATCTCTATGGGTGGGGATGGAGCAGACCAGGAGAGTACAACACAGTATATGGGAGTCTTGGAAAGTCTTCTCAACTAATAAAACCGAATTCTTAACATTTTGATTACATTTATTAATAAACATTAAGTGATGACTAATAATTCGATAAATTTCTGATGAGTTTCAATATGGATGTCAAACCTAAATTGTTATCATTCTTATCGATATTCTAGAGGTAAATTAAAACTGAATATTGTTAAACTTCAACTACCGGTACTGAAATTGACTCAACGTACAGAGGCATGACGGAGAACAGGCCGATTCACACGACCCGTTTCTGTTCCGACCGTCAGGCATTTTAATGTAACTGTTCACACGACCCGTCATGCTGACGGCGGCAGGCGGCCGACAGCAGACCGACACGCCCCGGATTTCTTCTCGAGAAATCCTGGCCAGTTTGACGGCTGCTTGGCGCCAGCCTAACGGGTTGGAGACGGCTCGTGTGAACGAGGACCCGTACGGTACCCGACCATCTGCAGCTGCCGCCTCCTTATGACGTATTTAGTTCAGTGTTTGGCATCATGGACGAAAGGCTGATAGAAGTTGTGCGTGGGTATGAAGAGTTATTTGACATGACTAACAAGAAGTACAGTGATAATCTGCATAAAGATAAGATATGGAAAGTGATTAGCGAGGCAATAAACAAACCAGGTGAGTGTGAAATAAGTTTATTACACTTGAAATGTTTTGTCTTGCCTTACTACAGCATATATATATATATATATATATATATATATATATATATATATATATATATATATATATATATATATATATTTCATTAGCCCAATAAAGCACGCGGACTTCTACATGCAATCAACACCTCACCCGGCCAGGATTCGAGCCCATGACTGTGACCGGGGAAGGCTACCTCTGGACCACCAGGATACGGGTAGTCCCCATTAGAGGTTCACGGCGCCATAAGCGCGTTGAACAGGCTTTGTGTGATATATATAAGAGAGTCTAGGACTGCTTTTAGTATCCTGGTGGTCCAGAGGTAGCGTTCCCCGGTCACAGTCATGGGCTCGTGGGCCGTGGGTTCGAATCCTGGCGGGATGAGGTGTTGATTGTGTATATATATATATATATATATATATATATATATATATATATATATATGATAAAATCACACGGGAAAAGGAAACAACGGAGCACCTTAGCTTTCGTCTTTATTCAAGACATCTTCAGTTGCCTCTGAAGATGTCTTGAATAAAGACGAAAGCTAAGGTGCTCCGTTGTTTCCATTTTCCCGTGTGATTTTATCAAGATTTATCTTATCCACGTTTTCATTGTGGATTTACATGATATATATATATATATATATATATATATATATATATATATATATATATATATATATATATATATATATATATATATATCACTCCCAAGGTAGTACTCCAGCAGGACTACTGAAAAATGCTTTGAATTTTTCCCTTACATTAAATGCAGTCTGATGAGCAGTTCCGCCTTGTCTCGGTATATTTACCAGGTTATTTTGAAAGTGTGTTGACATATTGCCTTTAAGATCAGAAATGTTTTCATCCCTAATAAAGTTATGTAAAAGGCAAGTAGCATAAACAATGACATCTGCATTTTCATGATTTAAATTCAGTGTTCTTTGGTAAATCAAAAACTTCTGGCTCAGAATGCCAAAGGCATTTTCAACTACCCACCTAGCACGTGAAAGTTTGTAATTATAAACTCTTTTCTGATTATCATCAATCTGTGTACCTGGGTATGGTCTCATTAAGTATGGTTTCAGAGGGAAAGTTTCGTCCCCTACTGAATGACGGTATCGGACGGACCGGGAACGTGTCGTGTGAATACACAACATTCTGACGGCGCTAAGCCGACGGCCTGACGGTCGGAACAGAAATAGGTCGTGTGAATCGGCCTGAATACGTCTCAACAAACCATCAATTTATAATCAAATTAATTTATGTAAATCTGTCAAAGTAATTATATTTTTTTTTTACTAAATGTGTTATGAAATGTTATGGGTAAACTTGTTCGTCTCGCTGTCCTATATAGTTGACACCAAAACATCTTCCGTCTGTATCTGTTCTGTCAGTGTGGTAATTCTGTCTCACATTATCTCAATATTACCCCAACCCATGTGGCAGAAACTCGATTTAAATATAATCAAACTTTAATTTTTTTTTTTTTAAGGGGATTAGCCCACCCGGGCACAGGTCAATGACCCACATCAGGGCCTGCGGGGCGAAGATATCTAATAATAGCTAAGCGCTGATGTTATCAAGACAGTGGTGGAGAGTTAGATCACAAGAAGCTTAGGCACCCAAACTTTTATTAACTGATAACTAAACACTAACCTACCCCCGCCTCTCTCTCTCTCTCTCCTTCCCTGCAGCCAGAGGGTCGCGGGCTGGCCTTCCTCACACCGTGTTGGTCACCACTGACTCTCACACGACACACTGCTCGAGAAGAGGATAAATTCCCAGCTGAATCCCCACGACTTGTGAAGTATACAAGTGACAACTATCACGTGATGATGGAGTAGTGGACATGTGTTACTAATATTTAGCTGATTTAGGAAAAAATTAATCAGTAATATAATACAAACTTACAACTACTAAATAAACAGCCAGTGACGTCATCATCTGTAACATTATGCTGATATAATTCTCTCTCATAAAACAAATATTTAGTAGAAAAGTTTTAAAATATTAGCCCCTAGTTTATTTCACCTTACGATTAACCACGCTAACCTAGCCTAACCAAAAGCCCACAAGTACCATTAGGGTGTTTAATCATCAGGTGAAATAAGCTACAGTACCTAATCTCCAGGTGATATACAACTCCTTATACCAGAGTGTTTTAATATCCTGGTGTGACTGAGGTTGGTGGCAGCACAAATAACTCCCATGGCGCATCACTGTCCTGCCTCTAAATCAATTCTCACCTTATCGTTAAAACTGTCAATCTCTTCAGAAAATGTAAACACGGTACAGAACACTGGATCCAATCATACTGGAGATGTCGTTAAATTAAGTGTATGTTAATAGTGATCCTGTTAATAAGGTAAAATTCGACTTAGATTAATTTTGGGAAAGACAAAAGAGTAAAAAAAAAATATCTTATTAACTTTACAATTTTCGGATCTCCTGAAGATTCCGACCCCAAGCTTATTTCACCTTAAGGCTAAATACCCAAACCTAACCTAACCTAACTTAAACTAACTTAACCTCACCTAAACTAACTTTACTTAACCTCACCGAACGTAAACAAATATGACTTGAATAGCTTAACTCAACCTCACCCAACCTAACCTAACCTATAGTGTAAAGGTCTTGCTGGCTGACTGTACAATACCTCTAAGACTCTTAACTGAAACCTATAAGAGGAACAGGTAGGTAGGACTCCCTCTGTGTGTTGCGGCAGAGACCAACACAAAGCCTAGTGCCTCACGCAAGTCATGGCTCAAGGAAGGTATACTGTGTGTGTCCTCCAATGGGGTCAATATAACTAACATGCAAGACCCAATTTCACGTTACACTGCCTTAGTTAACCACGAATAAGAAAGAAAACGACTAATACTAAGAGTTCACCAAGGTACGTCGCTCACACCCCACATGCCATCAAAAATATGAGCAAAAAATAATATGAAAAATATTAGCCAAGTACCTGGTCATTACTGCGTCCAAACTAAACGTTTTAGATCTAAAAATGATTGATATATCTCCCTCTGTGTGTGTGTGTGTGTGTGTGTGTGTGTGTGTGTGAGGGGTGGCATGATAAAGACTGGCGTGTGCTGTGAGTGGGAGTGAAGGCAGAGGGGATGATGGCCTAGATTACATAAGATTACTGACCATGGAACTACTGGTAGGAAAGAGAGAGTGAAGAGACAGGTAGGGGAACTGAGACATGCAGGTGTGTTGTTACCTGAGCTGAGGCATACAGGTGTGTTGTTACCTGAGCTGAGACTACAGGTGTGTTGTTACCTGAGCTGAGACATACAGGTGTGTTGTTACCTGAGCTGAAACATACAGGTGTGTTGTTACCTGAGCTGAGACATGCAGGTGTGTTGTTACCTGAGCTGAGGCATACAGGTGTGTTGTTACCTGAGCTGAGACTACAGGTGTGTTGTTACCTGAGCTGAGACATACAGGTGTGTTACCTGAACTGAGACATACAGGTGTGTTATTCAGTTACCTGGGCTGAGATATAATGGTGTGTTATCATGTTACCTGAGCTGAGACATACAGGTGTTGTCTGGCTGGACAGGTGTTAGCTGAGACATAGGTTGTTGTGACCTGGGCTGAGATATAATGGTGTGTTGTTACGGCTGACATACAGGTGTGTTGTTACCTGAGCTGAGACATACAGGTGTGTTGTTACCTGAGCTGAGACAACAGGTGTGTTGTTACCTGAGCTGAGACATACAGGTGTGTTGTTACCTGGCTGAGACATACAGGTGTGTGTTACCTGGCTGACATACAGGTGTGTTGTTACCTGAGCTGAAATCAGGTGTGTGTGGCTGATCAGTGTGTGGCAACAGGTGTTGTTCCTGGCTGAGATGGTGTGTTGTTCTGAGCTGAAACATACAGGTGTGTTGTTACCTGAGCTCATACAGGTGTGTTGTTACCTGAGCTGGACATGGTGTGTTGTTACCTGAGCGAGACATACAGGTGTGTTGTTACGGTGAGACATACAGGTGTGTTGTTACCTGAGCTGAGACTACATGAGAGTAAGAACGTCTCAGCCATTCAAGGAACAACTCTTCACATTCCTAACCTAACCTAACCTAACCAAACCAAACCAAACCAAACCAAACCAACAACTGAGCTATAGAGGTGAAAAAAGTATACGTTAAAATATACAAAGTTAAATAAACAATAACATGAAGTAAATGATATATTAACAACCTTACATGTATATTACCATTCATACCTGGAGAAACATTACTCACCAGGTAACATATATATCACACACTCAATATGATAAAAAATAATTACATGACGTGAAAACAAACTTAAGACAACTTGTTATCATCAGGGTGTTTGCTCTATGAGGCTGTTGGTCGAGGCCTTACACACACACACACACACACACACACACACACACACACACACACACACACCTCTCTACTGATTACAAAGTTTGAACTATAGTTGAGAGAGGTAACAATAGTCTCTCACTGATACGTCGCCAACAATAACAAAAGAGAAGATGAAAACAAAAGAGACAGAAAAAGACGAAGAACTAAAAAAGTAAGCAAATAAATAAAAATAATTGGCTGGGAGAGAAAGGAGGAGAGAAAAGTAAGTATAGGGGGGTAACTATGGGTTGTTTCATACACAAATTATTAAGTTGTTTTGTAGGTAAACTAAATGGAGTTGAAATTTGGATTTTAAGAATAAATAACACACAATGCTGCGAATGTAATCCCTTTCAATCCAACCTAACTTAACCTTATCCAACCTAATCCAACCAACATAACCTAACTCAGCCAAAAAAAAGCTTCTCTATACTAACCTAACCTAATATAACCTAATCCAACTCAACTCAACTTAACTCAAACAACCTAATCTAACCTCGGCCACTGAGTGAGCGTAAGAGCATGACAATGTCACCTGGGGGTCACTCCACCACCTAGGAGTCACTCCACCACCTGGGGGTCACTCCACCACCTGGGGGTCACTCCACCGCCTGGGGGTCAATCCAACACGTGGGGGGGTCACTCTGGTAGAGCATAGTTATCTGCTCAGTGTTATTCCACGCTTCGACGTTATTCTGCGAACGAATAAGTGATGGTGGTGGTGGACAGGGGACCATACTTGACGGGTCATCTGTGAGGCAGAGTGGGAGGACCAAGGCTTTTATAAGGTGACACAAGTTACCATTTCTATGAGGAGCTGCATAGTGTAATCACCTGAAGGTTAGGTTAGGTTAGGATAGGATAGGTTAGGTTAGTTGGGGTGGCTAATCTTCAGGTGATCAGGATACAATATCGATGAATTTAAAATATCTACTAAATACCACTAAAGGTTTGCAATATAAGTAACTTCGATGTGGCACGACATTTGCTTCTTTAAATCAATACTGTCACATTATCGGTGTGACACAGGCGACAACTATAAACTGAAAGCAGTCTAGACACGTTCGACCCAACCCTCAAGCTGATCACTGAGAGAACTGCCTGTACATGTGTCGTGAAGTGTATGTACAGTTTTCAATTTCATAATGAGAGCCGTAATCTTCGCATCGTTTAATGACAATGATTTCTTGTTTATTTCAGTGAGGTCCTGTTTATTTCAGTGAGGTCCTGTTTATTTCAGTGAGGTCCTGTTTATTTCAGTGAGGTCCTGTTTATTTCAGAGGTGAAGGTCGCCGTTGGGTGTCCATGGTAGTAGCGGCGCCTACCAGTACACAAAAGGACAGACCTTACAGACACCCCGCGCCTCCTTGAGTGACCGGAGGCGTTGCTGGTTCCCACTAAGTCACTGGGAGATGGGCATCGTGTAGTGAGTGTACAAGAACAGGGAGCAACTCAGGAAGCACAGGGAGCAACTCAGAACGCACAGGGAGCAACTCGGGAAGCATAGGGAGCAACTCGGGAAGCACAGGCAGCAACTCAGAACGCACAGGGAGCAACTCAGAACGCACGGGGAGCAACTCAGAACACACAGACAGCAACTCAGAACGCACAGGGAGCAACTCAGAACGCACAGGGAGAAACTCAGAACGCACAGTGAGGCAACTCCAGAACGCACAGGGAGCAACTCCAGAACGCACAGGAGCAACTCAGGAAGCACGGGAGCAACTCAGAACGCACAGGAGCAACTCAGAATGCACAGGGAGCAACTCAGAACGCACAGGAAGCAACTCAGAATGCACAGAACTCAGAACGCACAGGAGCAACTCAGAACGCACAGGGAACAACTCAGAACGCACAGGGAGCAACTCAGAACGCACAGGGAGCATCTCAGGACGCACAGACAGCAACTCAGAACGCACAGGGAGCAACTCAGAACGCACAGGGAGCAACTCAGAACGGACAGGGGAGCAACTCAGAACGCACAGGGAGCAACTCAAGAACGCACAGGGAGCAACTCCAGAACGCACAGGGAACAACTCAGAACGCACAGGGGAGCAACTCCAGAACGCACAGGGAGCAACTCAGAACGCACAGGGAACAACTCAGAACGCACAGGGAGCATCTCAGGACGCACAGACAGCAACTCAGGAAGCACAGGGAGCAACTCAGAACGCACAGAGAGCAACTCCAGAACGCACAGGGAACAACTCAGAACGCACAGAGAGCACCTCAGAACGCACAGGGAGCAACACAGAACGCACAGGGAGCAACTCAGAACGCACAGGGAGGAACTCGGAGAGCATAAAGGCCTCAGACCAGAAAAATACATGATATCGGGGAATTAAAAGTCACCTATTCTTTCTTGTGGCTCTTCGGGGTGCACCAAGCAGCTGGACGGTTCAGGTGCACGGCAAGACGCTCGTCACAAGACAATCTTACATTTGGAAGGATTGGAAGGTGAGGGCTGTGTTGCGTCGCCAGTGATGTAATTACCACAATCACTCACTCAATCCCCCATATCTCCGTTTAAGTGTCATCATCAATCAACCAAATACTAAGTTTCCTTGGCACGCCATATAGACTTCCACCGTCTCTCGACAAAAGAAGAGCGGGGTGAGGGGCTCCCCTTGTTGGAAAACTTCCGTTGAAATAAACTCATGTTCTCTCAACAACCGATACATACGCCGACTTTGACCTACTGCACGTCTGTTGATAAGAATTAAAGTATTTTTCACACCTAATTCGACCAACATTTTGCCTCTGCTGTAAGCATGGAACCTTTCCTCCTGCTCCTGAGATATTCCCAACCCAAGGGGATTGCCATCAATCACTGCTCTGATCTGATTTGATTTCAACACGCACGCACGCGCGCACACACACATTCCAACACCTCACCTGCGGTGTTCCCCAGGGGACCAAGATGGGAACACTGTGCTCCTGTTCAACGACGCTCTGTCTGACACTCCTCACAGGTGGAAGTATGTGGATCATTGCACTGTGGGGTTAATGGACAACACCTCACCGGACTACTCATCGCTACAAGGCACCTTGGACAGGCTACAGGCATGGACTACGGAGAACAAGGTCACCATCAACCACACCAAAACCGTAGTCATAAGAACATAAGAACATAAGAAAATAAGGAGTCTGCAATAGGCCGGTTGGCCTGTGCATGGCAGCTCCTGTCGAGTTACTACCACTCTCTATCATCCATGAATCTATCTAGCCTCCTTTTGAAACTTTCCAGAGTTCCCGCACTTACTACAAAGTTGCTAAGCTTGTTCCACTCGTCCACCACCCTATTTGTGAACCAGTTTCTTCCTATCTCCTCCTAAACCTAAACTTATCCAACTTGAATCTGTTGCTCGAGTCCTATCCTGCTCGGATATTATAAGAACTTTATCTATATCCCTTTTATTGATTCCTTTCACCCACTTAAACTTCTATCATATCTCCCCGCACTTCGTCTTTCTAGGAATGCAAGTTAAGTTTCTTTAACCTATCCTGATATGGAAGGTTTCTAAGTCCCGGAATCATTTTTGTCATTCTTCGCTGCACCGACTCTAGTGAATTTATATCCATTCTATAATAGGGCACCAGAACTGAACCACATAATCGAGGTGCGGCCTAACTAGCGCAAGATATAGGCAATAAGACCTCTGCACTCTTGTTACTTACACTTCTAGATATAAAACCCAATACTCTGTTTGCCTTATTTCGAACATTAACGCACTGTTTTCTGGCCGTAGGTCCGGGCTTACAAGTCCTAGGTCTTTTCACAAGTCGACTTTCTAGGTTGATGTTGTTAAGGCTGTATACATTATAAGTATTTGTTCTTCCAATATTAAGTACGCTGCACTTGCTGGTGTTGAATTTCATTTGCCATTTTCAGACCACCCCTGCAGTTTATTTAGATCCTCCTGTAATGCATTTGCATCCTGCCCTGAATTAATTTGTGCCCTATTTTGGTGTCATCCGCAAACTTGCTATGTCACTGCTGATCCCAGTATCTAAATCGTTTATGTAGATTATGAACAAGAGTGGGCCTAGTACTGACCCCTGGGGAACCCCACTGGTTACACGGCCCCACTCAGATTTAACACCATCTACGCTGACCCTCTGTCAAATGCTTTGCTAAAGTCTAAGTAAATAACATCGTAATTTTCGTCATTATCTACTACCTCGAAGACTTTCCTAAAAAACGTTAGCAGATTTGTTAGACAAGATTTTCCCTTTGTAAACCCATGTTGAGAGTCGTAGATTAATTTGCTTTTCTCTAGATGCGATCGGATGCTATCTGCTATAATTAATTCAAGAAATTTCCCCACTACTGACGTCAAACTGATCGGCCGGTAATTTGACGCTGATGCCACCACTCCAGTGCAAGCTCCAGCAGTCACATTGGGTGCCCATCCTCTCCAGTTAGTGCAGTCTGCCAAACTCCTGGGTGTTACCATAGATCACAAACTGGACTAGAAGGCCCATGTAAACAACACAATCAAGGCAGCCTCGTACCGACTCTACATGCTACGACGACTTAGGTCACTTGGGGCACCCACGCCAGAGCTGAGGATTATCTACAACGCCTTTATTCTCCCCAAATTAAAGTATGCGTCACCAGCCTGGTCGTCTTCTCTCAACTCTACCCAACAACGTCAGCTAGAGACGGTACAGAAAAGGGCCTGTAGAATCATGCTCGGCGCAGACTACTCCGGCTACAACAACGCTCTCTCCACCCTGGAAATTCCATCCCTCAGTGACCTCCACCACCAAGCACTAGCTAGGTTTGGCAGTGGACTCCTGCACCATCCTTGTCATCACCACCTCCTGCCACCGGCAGTCCCCCGCTCACCTCGCGCAGTTCGCCACTACAACAAAATTCAGCCCATAAGGGCCCACACTGATAGATATAAGAACAGCACCATCCCATCTAATGCTAAAATAATAAACAACTCCTGATTTATGTACTGTACAGCCCTTTAAATGTATTGAACGCATATCGTTATGTCTAAATCACATGTAAGTTTGTATATTTTCAGCCACAGGCTGCAACTCTATTAATAAACCGTTTATTATTATTATTAGAGTAAGGAAGAGAAGGAGTGGAGTGTGGAACTCTCCTGACAGTCCTCTGATAGGAACAACTTGCCAAGTCTGTCACCAATGCTGAATAGGGCTCTTGAGCCATCTCCGGACTTATTAACCCTGACCATCCCTGTGGAAGACATCATCCTCCGTCCTAAGGGATACACGATATATTTTATATTATATATATATATATATATATAAATATATATATATAAATATATATATAAATAAATATATATATATAAATAAATATATATATATATATATATATATATATATATATATATATATATATATATATATATATATATATATATATATATATATATATATATATTTATATATATATATATATATATATATATATATATATATATATATATATATATATATATATATATATATATATATATATATATCTATATATCTTGATAAAATCACACGGGAAAAGGGAAACAATGGAGCACCTTAGCTTTCGTGTTTATTCAAGACATCTTCAGAGGCAATTGGATTAAATGGACAGAGAGGCTTAAATATACAGGGTGACCTTAAAAACATGAGGTCAGGTCATAATGATGTCATCCACTAATCCCCACACCAACACACACGTAGAGGAGCTTAAGAGAAGGGGGGTGACGTGACTAGTCAGGTCAGGTCAAAAATAAGTGACCCACTAAATAACTATCATACATCTAGATCAAAGGTTTTCAAAGCATTTTTAACCTTGGGCCACTGACAAATAAATTTATGTAACGTATTATCAGTTTTGAACTGACCATCACTAAGGTGAGTACAGACTGTACTCATCCCTGAAGATGTGAATTACACGAAAGCGCTTGGGAACTTCGTGTTTTCTTCTTTCCTTGTGGTTATCAGCGCATATATATATATATATATATATATATATATATATATATATATATATATATATATATATATATATATATATATATATATATATATATATATATATATATATATATATATATATATATATATGAACCTGATAATTTGATCCACCGCTGTTTTAAAGCCAAGTACAGTATATAGACACCAATTTGAAAGCCTATATATAGACCTTCACAGTGACCGCATACTTGCTAAGTGTTGGTGTCAGGTAAAAGCTGGTATCAGATGAAAGTTGGTGTGGGATAATAACAGCAGATGGTGTCAGGTAAAGGTTGCTGAGAGATAATAACAGCAGATGGTGTCAGGTAAAGGTTGCTGAGAGATAATAACAGCAGATGGTGTCAGGTAAAGGTTGCTGAGAGATAATAACAGCATATGGTGTCAGGTAAAGGTTGCTGAGAGATAATAACAGCAGATGGTGTCAACACGTTAGGACACTCGTGTTTACCCTGTGCACCCTCGCCTCTGGTAGCGGCTGTGACAAGTCAGTGTATACAGCCGTAATTAGAATCAATAAACACTACAATTGGTGTAATTTACCTTCTTACGGCTGCCACAACTGCTATCAGTGAAGCCAGTCCAAACAAATTTGTTTACAAATTTGCAACACTTAATTACACTATTATTTCCCCATTAATTTTATTTGATATAGCGTAACATTGTGATTATTTATATACCATGTGTGTGTGTGTGTGTGTGCGTGTGTGTGTGTGTGTGTGTGGACCTACGTGCCACCCTCAATGAGTCCCACTATTACTCTTTTTGTTCGTTTTATCACCAAAGCTGTGTAGGTGTAGTGAGAGTCATGTGTAGTCTTATTGTGTGTAGCGTGTACCATGTGTACAGTCGTCGCATTATGTGTAGTGTATATCATGTGTAGTTTAATTATGTACAGGAGGCATGTATAACACCTGGCTCAGAGATACTACAGTCGTGGCCCGTATACTTGTCACCATTACATCCCACTTAACACCACAAGTTAATTACGAATTAATTAGTAATTAAGTACTTTTTAATCAGTGTTAACTATCATTATAAAAGGGCCAAAGACTTATTTGTTATAGTTGGGTTTATATTATACATATTGCTAGATAAAGATGTGCTGTGTTGCTGGTCGTGAGTGATGGAGAAGGCTAAATTAACCTGAACTAACCTAATCTAACCCAACGCTAACCTAACCTAACCCTACCCCCTCTACAGGCAGTTAACATTAGGGTGTTTAATCATCAAGTAAAAATAAGCTGGGGTGGGGCTAATCTTCAGGTGATCAAACAATATTACGATAAAGACGAAGGCTACATCAACCCCCCGACTTCCTGTTTGACGTAAATTAT